GCTTAATCTTTTTTCAGAAATCTGCTAAGATTCAGTATATCTTTAACGGTTGTGTTGTTCCTAATGTTGTAATAAAATTATTTGAACTAAAGCAATGCCGGTTTGTATTTTGCAAAACCATCATTATTATGCTTCTTTTTTTGAAATTCGTTTTTATGTTTTAAATTAAGGCTGACAACGTGTTTGTATTCTTCATAATACACCATCATGGATTTGCTTAAAAATCATCATCGACCTTAAACTATTCTTTGTTAAGTGAGGGGTTGTACACGATAACGGGTTAAAAACTCTTTACTCGCCCATGCGTATGATAATATCATATCGCTAAAGGCTGTCCTAGCTAGATTGAAATTAGAAAGCTTAGTTTGAAACTTCATCTTAGTAAGGTTTGTTGAGTCTATGACTAATAAAACGAATGAAACAAATATTATGGTACTATTTACTTGAAAGCTTACTTTTATTACAATACTGAATTTATTGTTTAAGCGTGTTTCTAGTTAAAAAAAATCAAGACCATGTACATACAGCGTTTATAAAATATGTTGTCTTATTGTAATTAGTACAAGTAATTATAATTTAAAAGCATATTTTTCTATTTTATATGTTATATATTATAATTCAAAAGCATAAAAGTATTACTTATTTGTTTTATTCAGAATATATTAAAAAAATCATAAAGCCACCAGAATGATAAAAAAATTGTATTTCAGGAACATTGCGATTTAAAGCTTGATAGTAAAAAGGACAATTTTAAAAGTTAAAAGATGTCCGTATTCCACAAAATGTGTCATAACCTTAAACCTGAATGTATACACATTTTTCCAAAGAAGTCGTTGTAACAGTCCTTAAATGATTTTCCGTTTTTATAAAGGCATACAATTGTCAAATCGAAAGCAAACCTCCCTTTATAAAACATATTTTATTCTTTCCTCGCGTCAATGCACAAATTGAAAAAAGGTGTGCGAATAATTTCATCCCCCGGATAAAGGCAAAATGTATCTGTATGAACTGTATGTTTTATTAATTAAGCTTACAATCATTCATGATTATCATTATAATCGCAATCTAAAATTGAGTTTCATGAAACATTTGTTTTAAATTGAGGATGCTAACGGTGATAAATAATCGATTTTAATATTCAAGTTAATTTTAGATGAGAAATGAGATTTTAACGTGTATTAAGTAAAAAAAATAGAGGAAAAAATAAGACGATTTGCTATATTTTTTGTATGGGTTGTTATTTTATTTCATCTTGTGAACTTCGAAACCAGTATCCTTACTCTTCGCCATTCGTGAGAATAATGTTTTGAAGCTCATTAAATAATTAAATAAATAAATAAATAAAATTAGATATTACACAAAAATAAACAAATATCGTAAATGTTTCTTCTAAATATTGGTACAAGATATAGCTCCGTATTATATGATCAACTAAAATACTTTACTAATCTTTCATCAAATGAATGTTATTGACATAGCATATATTCATAATAATAATATCACCTATCTCTTGCAAATTTATACAAATACAAGTTATTCAAACACGATGTGCTTTTTAATCATCAGCTACAGACGTTTATGATTGGCATTTCTATTTCACAATCGAGGTCAAGACTGTACTATTGATCATGTGCTTTCAGACACCTTGTGTCAAACTTTGAAGATACATTTCCTTGACAACATAAAACGTTTAAAACTACAAAAACTTCTAGACAGCGGTTATTCTTCGAGATAACTGGAAGCAAAAACAAAAGGATTAAGATGGTAGATACAAAGTTTTTTCCCCAATCTTTAAAGAAATAGGAATATAGTATGGATTTCACTTTATCTTGAACAAACAACAAGAAAAAAACAGCATCAGTATGTCACAGTGACAGAGGGAAACATAAGAATATCTTTCCGAAATGATTCTTTAAAATGTTTTTCTTCCGTTTATGTCTGTTTTTCTTTCCGGTTTCTTTTTGATGCAATAGTTCAACTGCAGAAAATAACATGTATGTGGTAAATATGTTTCCGTTTCTAACAGCATGACATATTTGTTTTTAAAAACATTACTGTGATAATTGAAAACAAAAAAAAAACAAAAAAATAAAAAATAAAAGTGTCTTTCGAACTGTCACAAATATAATAGGGGAGTTTAGAGAAGTTAACAGATTTCTGCACAACGACACATCGAACTTTAATTTGTTTTTTTTACAAGCTTACATACATGCTCAAGTTCATATATCTTCTACGAACATGTAATAATAAACATGTAAACATGTTCTATACAGTAAACTGTCTTTAGGGCAAAACGACTTGTTTAATACTTGTAATTGGAAAAACAAGTTTTACGTAATGTTTATTTACGATTGATCGTATGTTACAAAAATAATTGAAAAAGTTTATTTTACATTACACATTGCTAAGTACAAAATATATATATATATATATATATATATATATATGTAAAAAGCGTATACAATAGCAAAAGCACACACGAAGAGAAATTATAATTCATGGCAATTTGGCATTTACTGCATGCAACAAGTTAAGGACCCTAGACTTACATTTGTAAGATGCCAAGTTCTCAACATATCTTCTTTTCAACTAACAAAATACAAGACTTCTCCGTCTTAAATTGCTTTTTTTCCGAATAAAAATGAAATATTCTGATTGACAGTATTGGTGTTCTTCTGATATTCCATTAAGATAATTAAGCACTTCAAAGATGATGCTGAAAATTTGCAACACCCCTTCATGCATCTTGAATTGACATTCACATTAAAAAAAAATATTGATGATATTACTAAAGCGTTGATTCAAAGGAAGGTTCAGAATGTTTTTGCCTTCAAAAATGAAAATGAAAGTTTTTTACGTGCTTTTAACTATAATCACTTCTCGGCGGCATTATTATGTGTTGCACATGTGACTAAAATATTGATATTTTTAATTGTTTTTTTTTCTGCAAAAAATTCAAATACAGCATTTACAGAGCAAAATGGAAAACGCATTTATTTCATATTTGGTCGCCACTGTTTTAAGAAACTCATTGAATTATTTTTGTTTGAATATAACTTGGCTTACATGAAATAAAAAGAATCTATATCCCATGCAATGTCCAGATTATGGTATAATGTAGACAAAGGTAAAGGTTATTCATATACTAATCACATGATCAATGTGTTTGAAAACTCATTTATAAACTAGGATATAAACTGAGACAAAGTCAGAGTATGCAATTAATAAAAGATTGTTGTTTAGGATCTCAACAATTTGAAATTGAATCACAAAGTAACATGACCTTCCACTTATGATACACATATAGCCAGGTATGTTTGCTACAGGCATCTCATATTCAAAATGAAGTATTAGATTATTATAATACCTACTTTTGTTAATCTCCTTGTCTTATCTTTTTGTTCATTTTTTGGCTATATGTACATGTATCATGCATACCCTTTGGTGATACAAATGCGCCTGTTCACGTTATAAAATACAGTAGTTAAATTTTAGAATCTGTAATCACACAGATGCATTGTACGTAAAATAAATAAATAATAAACTATAATGCATTTAACATATCTGTCCGAATCGCACATTGGGTTGTGTCTTACCTTTTAGTATTGTATTAATGATAGGTAGGCAATTTCTGTTGTTTAAATGATTGCACATTGTCTTCGTGGACTTTATCCTACTTTATCAAAATGTATAAACAATGGTAAAAATATACTAAAATTATATTATAAATGTCATGAAATTATGCTTCGTCGGCATTGATTGCCAATTTAAGTTTGGAAGCTGATATCATGCTTGATATCTTTATCATTTATTTTTCAATACAATCACTGAAGAATTTCCGAACTTAGAGAGTCATTGAAAGCACTGGAGAGCTTGACATGATAACAAACTGGACATATACCTACCTTTGCAAAATAAAAAATAAATCAACTGGATTGTTATTCATATTGTATCATTTTAACTCAATTAAAACAACTAAACTTAAGTTAATTAATCTAAATGACATGTATCAAACTCAGCTTTATGAAAAACACTGTTTATTAAATACAAATGACTCCGGCTGAAATTCCAGTCAGTAACAATTTTTTAAATCAAGTTTATCCATTCATCCAGTTATGAACAGGAAAGTTGCCAAAATTGAGACAAAAATGACAATTATATTGCCTAATGGTTGAGACAGTAATAAAAAATACAAATGCTGTATCGACTGACACCTATCTCATTCTTAAGGAAGACGATTTTGCATTTAAATGTTCCTACCAAATATAAATGATATCAGTCAATAGAACAAGGTTACATACGAATAAAAGGATAACCTATTTTTGACATTGGCGACATTGTATTTGACCGAATGTGTTTGCTTATTGGAAGAATGTATATGTAGTAGAGCAGAATAATTCAATTTCTAGAGCTCTTTTGGAAATGAAAACTAATGACTGAAGAGATTACAGATTTGAAACCTATGTGAATACTGATGGCTGAAAATAACAAAGGGCAATAACTGAAAAATAATGCAGGGTAGGTTATCATTCTTATGTGCTGCACTCCTCCTCAATAAGATCTATCAACCTATGAGGTTTCAAGATGATACCTCTAACACTTTTTGAGATATACTCCGGACAAAAGTGTGGGACGGACGGAGATTTAGTTATATTTTGAGTTTCCAGTGAATACGTTATATAGTAAATACTTACTAAGTTACTGTCTAGTCAAAAGATAAGCATCAAAAATAACAAAGAGCAATAACTGAAAAATTATGCACAGTAGCGTTATCATTCTAGCGTGCTGCACTCTTCAATGAAATCTATCCACTTATGAAGTTTCAAGTTGATACCTATAATACTTTTTAAGATTAGCTCCAGAAAATAAGAATAAAACATATAAAAGGACAAAAACCTAAAGGGTAGAGTAATCATTTTTATTCACAGCATTCCTCCTCAATAAGATCTATCTACCTATGAAGTCTCATGTTGACATCCCAAAGATTTCTTGATATATGCTCCACTCAGGAAAATAATATGTATAAAAAATAACAAAGGGCAATAACCCAAAAATAATGACGGGTAGAGTTATCATTCTTATGCACTACACACATCCTGAATGAGATCTACCCAACTATGAAATTTTATGTTGATATCTCAAAGGTTTCTTTAGTTATGCTCTGGAACAAATTAAGTATGAAAAATAACAAAGGGCAATAACTGAAAAATAATGCAAGGTATGTTATCGTTCTTATGTGCTGCACTCCTCTTCATTGAGATCCATCCACCTATGAAGTTTCAAGTTGATACCTCTAACTAACACTTTTTGAGATAAGCTTCAGACAAAAAGTATAAAAAATAACAAAGGGCAATAACTCAAAAATTTTAAAGGGTAGAGTAATTATTCTTGCGCACAGCATTCCTCCTGAATAAGATCTATCTTCCTATGAAGTTTCATGTTGACATCTCAAAGACTTTTTAAGTTAAGTATGAAAAATACCAAACGGCAATAACTAAAAAATTATGAAGGGTAGCATTATCATTCTTATCCACTGCACACCTTCTGTGTGAGAACTATCTACCTATGAAGTTTCACGTTGATATCTCAAAGGCTTTTTTGAGTTATGCTCTGGACAAACATGTCGAGGTTTATCTCTTACGGATGGACGGACAGACAGACAGACAGACGGACGAGTGGTTTAATTACTACATGTATATGCCCGAGGCATAAAAATATTTTATTTTCTTATGCACGGACGGCATCTTAGGTCTTCCTCCAGAAGAAAAGCTGGAAAATCGCAATAAGACATAAACTATGTTGGTGCGACGTAACCCCCCCCCCCGCGCTCTTAAAAAAAAAAAATCAATTAAAGAAATAATAGTAAAGTAATGCATTTGTTTTAACTGAGCTGATATTAACATTGTTGTATTTTTCTTCTTTATAAACTTGTACATTCTCATTCATATAATTTAGTGATATATCAAAATCGTATCGTTCAGGCTTTGTTTTCATTACTTTCGCGAACGTCAAAATAGCGGAACTTAAAGGGTCCTGTTTTATTCACTTTCATAATGTCGGGTTTTGACCTGTACCCGAATAACTCCGCATCAACACTGACTATATTTTGTAACTCTTGAAACAAGTCTTGTGGCAGGGAATGATACGCTTCCATGAAAGCTTCTTTTCTATTTAATTTCCGCTCTTCTCTTGGTCCGGAATCGGCATTAGCTTTGAGCAAAGCTGTTTTATACTCATCAATGTCAACTTTCGATACGTCCGAAAAGGGATACGGTATATCCTTGCTAATAACTCCCCTAATTTGCATCTTTTTGAAAGTCTTGAATAGCACTTTGTCTTTTGTTGTGCAATTATCGACATTTTTATAAACATAGAATTCCCAAGCAATTGCTTGTAAAATAGCATCACGCTCCGTTTCTGAGTCAAAATCTTTAAATTTTACTGCTTGTGTCAGATTTAGCTTTTCCAACAAAATCAACGTTTCTTCTTTAAAATTTTCCACTTTTGCTATATAGTCATATTTAATTTCACATGGTCTACAGTATTCGTAATTTGACGAAAAGTGGGCATCCACTTTAATGCCAGCTTTCCAAGAATTTATATAATAGCGAATAAATTCCTCAAAAGTGACGTCATCACCACAGGGAGGAGCTGCCGAAGGACTCTTTTGTCTGAATTTGTCTATTATCAATCTTCCTAAATCAAACCAAGATCGTGAATATGGTGTAAATAGTTTATCAACGTATCCTGACAAAAGCCTCTCGTAAGGGTCCCGAACAAATAAAAATTTTGTTGATGAAGTTAGAGCTTTATGAATTTTATAAAAAGGCAATTTTTCCAAAGTTTGATAACCATCATATGCAGCCATAGCTTTCGTATCAAATGGATCTGAAACATTTTTAAAGCCATTTAATATTTGAAAGACTCTCTTCCAAAAAGTGCAGCCATTCTTTTCAATGGTACAATAAATAAGCTTGTATTTTTCGTCGATGATAAGATGACTTTTAATTCCAAGTTCTGATGTCTTTCCAGTAAGAGACATGTTGTCACACTTTTTATCAATGTTTCTCCTTCTCTCGGAAAACAGCACCTCGTTGTAATGCACCGATTTAAAGCTTTCATCCTGCAGACAAAGACAAATGTTTAAATTAACAAATTGTACTTTACATTTTTTGTTCATGTTTTACAATGTTTTATATTATTTAATATTGAAATCAACGTAAATTCAAAGTAAATGACAGACGAATAAAGCAAGCAATTATTAAAGACATGCCCTTAAAGCATTTCACAGTGGTACTCAAGGCAAGGCTTGTTATATGACAAAGGTTTTTCTAAATATATCAATAGTTTATATTTCACAAAACTGTAAAGCTATATATTCTTAATGTGTTTTGAAACCCCAAACTTACAGAAAAAATATTATCAGAGAATCTTCGTCTATAAGTATAAATGTCTTTACCAAAAGAGTCATCTGTCGTTCTTCCTGTAATAAAAAATAAAACGCTCATTTTATTATATACACATTTTGTTACTTTCCATTATCGTACATGAACAGGCTTAATCAAATCGAAGCTGCAACGTTCCAATTTTGAAGTCTTGGCGGTTCTGTAGTGTTTCCGGTTTTTTTATTTCCTGCAAAATTTTTAAACAAAGTCATTTTTGATAAGCCTGTCAAACTTATATTCTCAGTGTCCAACTCTTTTCACCCTGCCATCTGCTATGAAGGTCGGCGTATCAGTTCTTTTAAATCTGTACACGGCCATTATCTTTTCGGACTGTTCTCCAGGAATGCTCAAAAATTAATTTGTCAGCCTTTCCGTAGTTAAGAGGTTTGTTTCTATTCACTATCGAACAATTGAAATAAATATCATTTTAATAACTAATAAATTGGATACAATACTTTATATGTCTGAATATTGAATAGGGTATTGAATTATGAACAATGATTAAAAAATATGATACATGTTAAACAAGCATTTAATTACTGAAACAGTTTTTGTCATATTATTACAATTACTTAGATATTTAAAACTGAAAGTAATGAAATTGACACTAAAAATCCAATAAAGAAATAATCAAAGTTTATTAGAATCATTTTTTTCGACTGCTGTCCTAGTTAAAAGCGTTCAATTTTTATGCCATTTTTACAATAAAAATGATTGTACTTTCTCACAAATTATAAGTAACATACGTCAAATAATATATAATCGCAAATAGAAATTATTTTCAGCCCGTCCATAATAGAAATATTTTTTATCAAGTTCCTTGAGTTTAATAGAAAAAAAACCGCAGCGGAGATAATAACTGTTATTTACTGCTATACATTTGCAATTTTACATGTACATATTCTGATTATTTTGTAGATGAAACTTACCATTTTGAAACACTAGTATCACGAGAGCTAATCCTAGTGAAAATATAAAATATTTCAATCTCAATCTTTTCCTGAGTTTAAAAACCATTCTTATATTCATTTAAATGATCCTGCCCCTCGTTGTTGTAATGTTCAAGTGAAGTGCTGAACGTAACTACTACGGTCAATGTTAAGGCAACCGCTGTCAATGACAGCAATATCCTTTAGATAAACTGACACAGAATTGGGTAGTCAGACAAAAAAAAATATGACGCATTAAAATGTTTTTTATAGACTAATGGACCAAATGTCACGTTAATAGACTATTAAGACATTGAAATGATTTATCACGGTTATATGTTTAGAACTTTTTTATATCCAATAAATTAATATTCTTTGCTTAATGCAGAAGATGAAGTTTTGTTTCATAAACAATGTCACTCTATTAGCCTTTTTACGAACGATAATCACAATTATTCGCTCTTTGAATAGATCTTTGCATATACTTCACGTTTGAAGTACATGAAGGAAAGCTGGCGCCATAATGAATCGATCAAAATCCTAACTTAACAGTCGTGAACGCATGTTCCACTGTTTGTGAACTTCACTAAAAGTATAATTTGTTATGACAACGTATATTTTTATGATCCAATAAATAATAATTACAGCAGTATTTTTATATGATAAAAATAATAAATAAATAAATAAATAAATAAATAGATTAATCAATTTATAAAACAAAACTCAAAAAAATATCACAGTATAGTTTACATTTCGATGATCGTGCATAATATACTTGTTTTAAGTTCAGAGCAAAGAACCAGTTTATCAGTTATTATTAAGCAACTGCCATACTAAGACTTGCTTGATAATTATTATAATCAAAATAAACCCCGCCCCTTTCAACATACAATTTAAATAATAATTCACACTTACAATATAATATTAAATTTTTGACAAGTATCAGTGTAAAATAATTGAACTGAATGCATTCAAATTTGTTAGAATTTGCAACAATGCACAATTAAAGGTACACTGTAGGCATTCTGCGTAAAAGTACGGTAATTTCATGCCGGGAGGGTCTTCATTTTGTGAGGAAATCAGCAGATTATTCTAATTTGATTTATCTCAACGTTAATCCTTTAACAAAGGACATGCAGTACATAACGGTTCTATATTTTAATACAAAGTCTCTACTTATTTACATTGTTGTTTTAAAAACTCCATTTTTATGTAACATAACATAAAATAAAAAATAAAAAGTCCGAGCACGATAAACAGAACTTTCGTAATGTCTAAATATAGAAGCACAGTCCTTGAAAAGTTAAACACAGGTAAACTACTGGTGATTAACCAAAGTATTTACATTAAAGATATAGAGATAGTATTTGAAGACAATATAACTTCGACTGACTATAGCATATTCAGTTGAGCCACCTCTGCAAATGAAATTACTTGTGGGCTCGAAACCTCGTGGATCTTTTTTCTTTCTTTTTTTTTATTCCAGATTCACTGTAAAACACATAAATATCAGTTTGACAATGTACACACATGAAAAGATAACTGTAATAAAACAAAGACAAAATGACGCAGCTCAATACAAGTCAAAGCAAAGAACGCGAATATCCCGTGCATAAAATATTTCACATAAACATGTATATAACTTAGCAAAAGTTTCGTTCTTGTCTCTACTTGAATACTATTCAGACATGTTGAAAAATTTTGAGCCCCGCTAAATTATAGAAAACGTATTTAATTTATTTTCGGCGAGAGAAAAATAAGGGAGAGTGGACGATTCCTATTACTGCGCCATACGACAGAACTGCAGATGCCTGCGGAGTCAGTGACGATGAAACCGACACAGAGAAACCGGAGAAACAACAGATACGGCAGATGAAATTTGAAATGTTGTATTTATCGTTTCTATGCATATCTTGAAATACATTTCTATGGAAAAACAATATAAGAAAATTGAAGATTCTTCGCTTGAAAGTAAAATAATAATAAAAAAAACGAAAACAAAAAATATGTAAGTCAAATTTAAATATAATCACATTCATTTTACTATTCATAAATGGCGAGAAACAAAAACACAAACCTCGATAAAAATATGTACCTATTAGAGCTTGTCAGTCTTGTGTCATAAAACATTTTGTGATTGTAGTGCTCTACCAATTGAGCTATTACGGCAACTACTACTGTCTACAAGTACAAATGTTGGTGCAATGCAGCAATTTAAGAAGCTCCGCGCAAAAATGCGCTCATTACAGATAACTTACCAAATTATTCCTACGCACAGGTCATGTTATATTCAGATTAAGTACTATTGTAGATTTTTTCCGAATGTTTTGTTAACCATTTTTTGCATTATTATACTTATCTTATGCACTGTCCATAATTAAAAAGAGGGGAAAGATATTTAATATAATAAAATGCTTTCACTGATGCCTACCTGGTAAGGAAAGTAATTCTATTGAATACAAACATGACTTACAAGACTTGTAAATGTTATGTGACATGACTGCACTGTGTTCTGTTTGTGTGTGTCACTACTGTAGTCAGCAAGTAGAGTTTTTGATGCTAAAGCATCAAGTCGCCGGATAGAAATATGATTGTATTATCTTATATAAAAGAAAATATCAGTTTTAATGATTCGAGTATAAAGAAAAGAGGAACAATAATTTGGGTAATGTTTATTCATAAACATGTTTTCATGCACATGCCAGAATTTTATCTTTCTTGCTATAAACTTTGTAAAAGAGTTTTATGCGATAAATTTATGTTATGTTATAATAAAACATCATATTTGAAGCAAACTTGCTCAGCAATTTTGTCAAGAAACTGTTATCATTATTAAATAAGCAAGTATTGTTTGGCAATATTTACCCGAGACTCATTAATTCACGGTAGGTGTTTCGTTAGTTTTCATAACTTATTATGATTAATGTTAACGATTTTATTATAAGTATAATTACATGTATATAACAATAAATACTGCTCGATGGCCTAGTGGTAAGTATAAAGAAGTTGTAACCTAGTAGGCGCAAGTTCGAATCTTGGACAAATCCTATTTGTAGTTTTCATAAATTTATTTTTATTATATCTTTTAACTATATGAAACATAAGTTGATAAATCGTGTGTTTCATTTCTAGCACTTTTTTATTTCATAATTTTGATAAATTTTGCAAAATACAAAGAAGAAACATAAAAGAAAACATAAAAAATCACTTTATCGAACCTACTGTCTTCAATTTGAAACTAACTGAAAATCTAACACATTGGCTTGTCATCGAGGCTTGTAAAGCAATTAATGATATATGCTTGTAATTCTACTTGTAATTCTACTTTATACATATACCGTTGTACCATACAGTTTACTTCAGAATCCGATAATTACCGAAAAAAATTACCGATCATCGAATATTTGCAAAGTGACTATGAAAATATATATGCTTAATTATTGCATAAAACAATGCAATTCTACTGTAAAAGTGGTGTCTGCATAAAAAAAGTATTTCTTATGCGCTATCGAAAATTATATAATTTAGTTGAAATCAATATTCCCGTCGTTACATACGATATAGTTAACGTTTAATGGTTAACTATCAACACAAAGATAGTTTATTAGTTTTCTCTGTGTATCCAATACGAGTCCGGCCCCCTACCGTCATAATTATTCAAACAAAATTACCTTTGCACTTTATCAGCTTCTATACCTTGTGCCAACCATTTACAAGTTACCTGTATGTCTGTCTTATCAGCCATTTGTTACTATTAATAGATTTTATAACAATAACATACACGTGATTCTTACAAAGAAACAGGGAGAAATAGTTTATAACTAAATAAAATGATAAAATAAAATAGGTCTCATAAGATACAAACAACCAGATAATGTAAAGTGTCATTTCAAATATCATGCATAATTTATCAATCATAAAATAGCAACGTTTGGCACTTTGAAATAAGTAAAAGTATCCCTGAATTCCTTAGGTATACACCATTAATTCATTTTTATAAAACTTGTTATGTTGCTTTTTAAGATGTCAATATTTTAATATTTCATTTCATTGAGCAACGTTATTGTATGTTTCAATTTTTGGGATTACTGAAAACAATTGTAGTCTTTAATTGTTCAGTAGTTGATATGCTTTTATTTACAGATTTTAAGGCCTTCTCCTACCATAGGTATTATATTAAACTGTTACAAATATATTCGCCGGTTTCTACCGGCGACTAATAAAAATATGAAAGTCTGTTTTTATTATTATAATTGTAACAAATATACAAAAAGTAACAAACAGGGACTAATATTATAATATAGTAATATCACATGCATTGTTTCATGTCAAATAAAAAAAAAATGGTTTCTTTCAATACACATTCTTGAATGAAAAAATGGGATGAATTTCAAAAAGATCAAATTCAGGAATTATTGTTTGTTATACACGCGTTACATGGTGATACAGTATTTATCAATATAATAGAAGACTGTTGCAGGTATGAGGAAATTCACTAACATCATGTTCGTGCGAGTCAAAGATATAAAGGCTATTTGACATTGGTGATATAAAAAAAACTATTGTTAATTGATTTATTGGGAGATCAATATACCTTTATGTTGAATTGCTTTAAAACCATTCATAAAAAGCATTACATTTCATGTTCAAACTGCAGTTCAAAGTTTCTGTTGTTATCAATGCTGCTATCTATCTATCTGTCTGTCTATAGCCTATGCTTAATGAGGGTCCATCCGCTCGTATTTTAGAGGCCACAAAATACAGCTTTCGCTGGCGAGTACGGACCCACGAACATGTCATAAAAAAGTTATTTTGAAGCACAAAGTGGTATGCTATTCCAATGAAGCCAATGAAATGTAACCTTATATACTAAAGTTTAATTATTTCAAAACAACCAATATATCAACATGTTATTATTAAACATTTAATTTCATAAATATAAATTAAGAATAATTATCAAAAGCAAAATTATTAAAGTTTTTTGCCTGAAATCTTCTTTATATTGACAAATTCAATCACTAATAGTATACTTGATATGCTGTGTGTAAATGAAATTCAAAATGTAACAAATTATAATTTCATGTACTACTATAAAGGGAAATAACAAATTTATAACCTAAGTATCAAGAATCAGAACATTTATAGATATTTATA